TAGCTGGTGGGTGGTACGGTAGTGACGTCATTTGAACTTTTTGGTGCATTGGAAATACTCAGCGCGCTAGGGGGTGTGGTTGGAACCGCCTCTAATCGCCATTCCACCAATGACGTTCGAGGACGTCATCAAATCCGCACCACTCTTCAGGACGAAATTGACTTGGTCTTGAAAACAATTCGAGAAGAAACTCCAGAAACAGTAATGCTGTGGTTTTCAACTATTCCCATGGTGATTATCTCCTTCATCCGATGTCGATAGGACAGATTTCAGCATTTAATTTGAGTTCGGTTCGATGACATTGCGAAAGAACCTTCGTCGAGTTGCTGATCAAATAAATTCGGATTTCTAATCCAGGCACCAGCTGAATTGCGGAAAAATCCAGATTTGCGCTTTCGCTGGCCTTTGTTTAGGTTTTTTGTGTGGGAATGACGTGGCTATTGCAAGTTCAACGGTATAAAATTCTGAGGGCGAGTTAGTCAGGGACTACATACATTGAATGTCCAAAGTCCGTGACATAATTCTTCACGTTGACAAAGCGAAACACCTTTTCGCGGGTCATCTAATGAGACGAGACGATGGACGCTGGAGCACAGCTACTGTGCGCTGGGAACCTCGGAACAAGAGACGACCACGTGGTCGACCACCTCTGCGATGGCAAGACTCTCTTGCTCACAGGAACAATATTTGCGATTCTAATTCAATTAAGGTATTAGTCCACTGGTCAACGACGGCTCAAGATAGAACATCGTGGATAAGAAGTTGGGACCCGCGCAAAAAGAATCGCAGCTGATAACGGGTCGCCAAGTAATCCAAGTAGTCAGGGACTTCACGGTAATTGTTTGCTAGAAGATTCTGTGGCGTGTGCTCAAGCAAGAGTGCACGAATCAGCAGAATATCCCTTCTCTCAAATGCCGCATCTCCTTTGATTCCATTCGGCTCTACGGGTGGTCCGGATCTGACGACGCCCAGTGCAGGGTCAACCCCTTCATTCCACCGAATTCAAAAAAAACCTTACAAGCTCCTCTCCTGTATTAGTGAAGATTCCGATACGCCTAGTACCTCTCAGAACTCTCTTGAAGAGGACATTCGAAGAGGATAATCCTCAGACAGGAACCTTCACAAAGGGCAATTGCGACGCTCGCCTGACTCGGCCAGACGTACGGATGACCAAGACTCTAAAAGATATTTCCGAGCCAAGTTGTACAACGCCTTTGTTTAACTTTTAGGCACATTTAGGCCCTTTAGGCAACCTTTTTCTGGAAATGCCTAATTCGTGCACCCATTATTCAGTCCAGTGGCGAAGGGTAGAGTACCCGTGTGAGGTGGTGCCATCTATGAAGCTCACAGTCTGATGCTCATTCTGGATCAATTTCCACCCAGGCAAACAAAGCTCTCCATTCTTCCTGAATCATAGTGTTATGTGTGCAGAACCTAACACCATTCTTAACATTGACGG